AAATGTGGATTAAACTCCTACAGAGATAATTCAATATTGCGAATGGGGAGTAATAGAAAATCTCCGTACCCTATTTCATCTAACATGGACTTCGAAATCCTTCGTTGGTGAATTTAAATGTGGCATAATTGTCGCCGTATCTAAAAAGGGACTGGAATCTGAATACATCTTTTTTCTACCTACTTCCAGAAAATCCTTCCTTCGGATTAACCTGATACGGCAGAGGTAGGTATTTGAGACAACACTCCACCGAAATCAGGAAGGCATCTGACCAAACGTTGCCTCTAGCAGGATCATCAAGGAACGTGGATGATTCCATTTGCGTTGATCTACCGTTTCCTTGGATTGAAGGATGTACTTGATTCAACAAATCGTCCATCTCTGTGGTAAATCTTGAAATGCCACGGAATTTCTGACCACGTTGTATCCATTTTGGAAGAGATGTATGTAGGAACTGTTTCTACTGTCAAAGTCTAATTACTACTGTATGAGTGGTTTCGAATTGACAGTGAAATTCGCCTAGAAAATACACTTGAACTCTGCACTGTTAAAAACTATCTTCTGTGAAGCAGTGAAGATCATTGCAGAAGCAAAGGTTTCTTACCAGAACAAAGTCACATTTCAAGATAACCGGCCAGATATCGTGCTGACTTTTAACATGTAGATAATATTGTCCTCGTGAGCACCAGAAACACTGCAGACGTTGGCATTGACACCGGCTTGCAACTCGAAGAAAGATCTACTTTTGGAGAGTAATCTGTCCTTGTGCCGGTGCCACAACCGCTGCCTTAAAAACAATGATTTCTAAACTGCGAATGGAACAGATCACAAACATACTTATGCAGACGCTCAAAGTAGTCACAGTGGGATCTCCTGACGTTCGCCACGTTTCTTGACAACGGTGTGAAAATAACGCGGAGCACTGAGACTACGACTTTGATAAAGGTGGAGGGTTTGCATAATTTCTCTGGATATGAAATGATTTGGTTTTTTCTTTGAGTAACTTCGACTCTGTGGCATTGTTATTTCGAATATTAAAAACATCTGGCATTTTGCAGAGGTCTAAGAATGGAAATAAGAAGAAATTAGAAAAACATCTGTCAAGGAACACCAGTCAGTAGTGACAAAAATGTTGACTGATACGTCTAAAGAAATGACTACTCTTCGAATACAATTGTACTGTGACCTACTTCATCTGAGATATTAGGAATTTAAGGATTTTGTATAAATCAGGTTCTTGTTTTATATTAACCTGTATAAAAACGTCGCCAAGTCACTTGAATAGTCGCGGAATATATGAAAGCGAAACCTTCTTTACCGAAGGAGCAGCGATAGGCTGGCCCAACGTTCCGTCTATTTCAGGCTGATTCAAGAATTCTAATTATCGCAGAGAGATGGCTACTTGTTTGCAGCGATAGATTATTCGAGAAATGAAAGTCAGCCGGAAGCTCAGTTTTGAAGAAGGACCTGGCAGAATCAGAAAATTAGTATTATGCCGAGTGTTTGTACAGTAAATGTTATTTTCACTGCAGTTAATGCTTGCGTATGTGTTGCCGTGCTATGACTCGCTGATACGTACTACGCATTCGACACAGAAAATTGAATCCGGGAGTTGGTTACGCTACACGTCGATGGTATGGCCGTAGAACAAAGTGTATTTGCTTCTCAGCGCAAGAAATATCATCCTAAAGGAATGAGCTTCTGCAGAAAGCAATCGAAGTCTTGTTCAACCATTCAACAATCAACAATTCTCAAACTTTACTTTGAGCGATACAGCGTTCATCACTATATTAGAATACGATACGGTAGTAGTTGAACATTAGACATGAGTTTTATCTGACATATTGTTTCAAGTTCAGAGAGAAGAAAGAAATGAATTTTGTGTATACAAAAGAATAACTTAAACTATCAAGTGCTTTCGTTACAGCTTAATTAATTCTATTTTCTGTTCGTGACAAACCGTCACTGCAAACATGCATCAGATAGGGTGATACGCCCAAATGCATTAGTCAAATTTTATCGGTAATAGGACCAGACTGAAGTCGCTGATGCACACGACCAAAGATGAGGTTTCCAAATAACAAGCGTCTTGATTCAATACAGTTAGGTTGTGGTTTAACATAAACATGTATGTTTAAAATGGCATGGCTGTTTAACAAACGAACGCAGTTTAAAGCGGAGCCAGTCACGGAACCCTGTATTCTGAGGATGCCCATCGAGATGGTGGTGTAGTTGTACGTTGAGCAAATATCGCTTCTTTTCAGCAATCAAAATAATGTCTGAGGAGCGGGCACCTCTGGCAAGCAATTCTGAACATTTACAGAAACTGCAACTTAAGATGTCACAATACACTCAGAAGGACCTGAAGCTGTTGTTAGTAGACATGAAGGAGGACATGTTGAAAGAAGCGATCGTTAAAGCGGAAGAAGCGATTGATAAATTCAAACTCCTGATGGAAGTATGGTGACTATTTTCTCCTACTCTACAGTTCCTTTCAAATCTTATAGATTGCGGAGTTTATAAAAACTAGCTTCGACAGCATGTTCCTGCCGCCGTGGCATGTGATCGTTGGTCAGAAGTTTGGCTCTCGTGTTACACATGAAATTGGAACGTTGGCGTACTTTATTCTAGGCAACATGGCTTTCTTCATTTTTAGAGGATTAGAAGAGTAAACAACACGTTGGCATTGGAAGACCAGCTGCTGAAATTTGGCATTAGACACAGTCTTTGTTTCATCAATCGTTCTACTAACGGAATATTAGAAGATTTCATCGTTAGAAGAACCTCTCCATATCAATTACGTTGCATATTTGAATTCTCCTACCAGTAAAATTGCAGTATGAAATAATTCAGTCGAAGTCACGTTAAACTAATTAATAATTAAGGAAATTTACGGTGAAATCCCATGCTTATCATTATGTTACGTGTAACCATGGCACCAAAACGAAAATAAGCAGAATGAAAATCAACAGGAGACTTGACCAACCGGGCAGTCTCTCAAAACGGAATTGCCGCTCTGAAAATTTGAAATCGAAAAGAGGTTTCACCCTATGTTGATTAATACGCTAGAAGGAACATCAGCGCCCATCACACATCATGGACGTACGCCTCGTATTTTATTTTATGACCATACCAGAACAAAGTGCAATTCCTATTATTCTCATTAGTCAATTAATATACATTTGTTAGTTGGTGAGGCAACGTGTGGTTTATTCCTTGCTCAAGGGAATAATTGTGCTTAAAGTTTAAAACTAGTTCATCTGTGTAGTTCAAAAATGACTGCTTTAAGAGTATAACACCAGCCGACAAGCAATTCCTTTAATATAGTCTTTAATGAGCTGTCGAGTAGACACTTCCATGTGAATATTGGTCTGAGTCTGCAGTTCACTCACATCCGCAGGGTTATTATCATCTGTGTCATGACATAATTTGAAACGTTTCATCCATTCCCATTTCTTTAATTGTTTACTTTGTTTTCGTTCCTGTTAGTGTTTGTGGAGAAAAAGTTCGTACAGTGCAAATACCTCTAACCTCATAATGCTGTCATCAGCTTATGCGCCAATTTTCTACATCCAGCCTTCTCAAAAACAAAATCACCGTGTCCTGCTGGCACTGTTGTTATATTTTCTGCCCTTGCATGTTCTTCGCGTCTTTTCCGTACATTGCATGCGGAATTACATCTCCGCTTGATGCATATTATCTAAAAACATTGACTAAATAATTTTCTTTATTTATAACGTGACAAGATGGCTATAGCTGCATTTGAATTTTTCGGGAATGAAACTATCCTCGAACGGTCATTGG